TTACCTCCACTTACAACCTGCCCTGCTTTCTTTCCTCTTGAAATCTAATGCAAATTCAAATCAGGAGAACATCTGCAGCCCTTTCTGATGCTTTATTTTCTGTTTAAGCTATGAATCCCTTCTAGTTATTGCTAATTCTTTCTTGTTTGTGATAAACCTTTTGCAAGATTTTATGATTAATCCCATTAAACAAGGAAGCAACCATTTGGTTTACTTTGAAAAACAGGTGCCATTTGCGGAGAGAGCCTTGTGTAGGACATGCACAGGAAACAATGCACCATTGTCTTTGAGGTAAATTGCTACATTTCTGTTAATTAAACAGAAAACGCCAACACTTTTGGACTCTTGCTATGTTCATCAAGAGAGAAAGTGTAGATCCATGGTGTAGAATTGCTGGTTTATGGGAAAGTGGAGTTTTCTGCATCATCATAATCAGCCCAGACTTATCTGTAATTCAATTTCCCATCTAGCAGGTGGGAATATTGGTTCTTACTTCCAAGAAAAACTAAAAGACCACCAAATTAAATAAAAAACCCAATACTTATTCTAGTTTAAACATTTTAAAGCTTTAAACAGAAACCCCCAGAGGTGTGGACTCTCCACAGTGAATGCTTTTTACGACAGTTTTGAATAACATCTGTGAGTAACAGCTTCACACAGCTTGGCTGTCTAAAGTGGGGAGGCAGAACCAGATCATTTCCTGAGGTCTTTTCACATCCTGAGGCTTTAGGAGTCTGCTGGTAGGTGGTTAGAGCCCTTCTTTGGGATGCAGTCTAGTTTCCAGTCACCACTCCAACACCTGGGTAGGACTTCTAGGACAGAGACACCTCTCTAGTGCCAACTCAAGACATAACTCAGGTTCCTGCTGAGAACCAGAGGGGACTTAATTAATGCCTCACTATTAGCACATAACAAGACATTTCTCATCCTTCCCCTCTCACTTTGACCAAAATTTCATCAAGGATATGAGAAAGGCAATAAAACCTAAAAAAAGAAAATAAATTTTGTCAAAACTAGTCAATTCCCAGAAGCTTCTTTTGTTCCAAGCCGTCATTTTCCAGACAAAGGAAAAAAACCCTTAACCAAGTAACGTGAATAAACTGACTGGAGAGACCATAGAAATATTAATCTAGAATCACATCTAATTGTGATAGTCTGGATACATATATTTACATTCATATATCAGAGTGAAAAAAAGATACAGATGTCATCATTAGTTTTTTTACTCAAAGGTCCTTCCTCTTACAGTCACAACTATAGTCAGTGTTAGGGGAATAAAAAAAAACCAAAAATGAGAGTGGCATGTGTGATTTGGGGATACACAATAGTAATTGCCATTGTATTTTACAATTGTTGTGTCAACCAGGCAACAGCCAATTAACTAACCAACCAACCAAAACAAAATAAAACAAACAAACAAAAAAAAAAAAAACAGAAAAAAAAAAGTGGTAAGAAAAGAAACCACACAAAGCCTGGAAACTACTCTGACTCCCTTGGAGCCCAGGACAAGTAATAACTACAGCAGCTTTGACATTTCAGAAAGGTTTCCACTGTGGTTTAACACTAGAACCAGATCTAATTAGTTTCTGATGATCTTATTCTCATTCTTTAGAAAGAAATAAAACCTGATGTAAGTTTTAAGGAACATAAAAATACTAAGAAATAGGAAGGGAGAATTGTAAGAATTTTTTTCTTGATGTGATAAGGAGACATTCAGGTTGGTTTGTGCTATTTTAACACTTCTGGCAGAATAAGTTCTACCCTCCTCTTCTACACATTAAAAAAAAAAAAAAAAAAAATCTTATGTGGCATGGGGGACACAGTACAGAACTTGTAAAGCAACCGATCCTACCAACTTTCAGGCAGCTGTCCCCAGCTGCTGAGCTAAGTTACAGCAGCAGTGATGAGAGTCAGGCATCTCCAGAAGCTGGTTCTGGTAACCTGAAGTCTGTTCACTGATTCTGGATGGGAATTGCAGGACTGTCTTCATAGTGGGAGCACCTCACCTCTGTAGGACAAATCCCAGCTGGAAGATGCAGAATGGCTCATATGAATGAAGCCTGAACCTGGGCTGGTATATTCTAAAATGTAAGCTTTCAAAAGTATCAGTAAGTATGTACTTATTTACCACAGGACTTCTGACAGCTGCTTGACAAGTAGTTAAAGTGGTGAGAAGACTAAACTATTCTCATCTTTAACAGAAAATGTAGCAGCCACAAACTGCATCTTAGAAAGTTTCTTTTGGTGAAAGAGAGAATTTTTTTCCACTGGAAGGATGAAGAAAAGCTAGAAAAGGCAGTCCAGGGGCCTGTGGAGTCTCCATCCAAGGACATTTTAACAATTTAGGGCAGACAAAGCCATTGTTGATGTGATTTAGTGCTGGTGACAGCTCTGCCTCAAGCAGGAGACTTGGAGTGATTCAGAGATCCCCTCCCACCCACGTTTCTGTTCTGTGATTCTGTGGCTCAATGAGGATTTCTTCCTCCACTATCATAGCAGGTGCTAAACAAATCAGCATGTCAGCTGGGTCATCCCATTCAGAAAAATGCAATAAATATTCCATCTCTTAGTGAAATGCTCCAACAGATGTGTGTTTTGAATTCTTCTATAAATGCCTCTCCATGAAAAACAAATTTTGTTGGTGTGAGACTAGAACTTCTCCTTTCCTTATCCAGCCTTGCAGAGTGATGTCTGCAGCAGCACCTCTGTGCCCCTGTGCCTACAAGCACAAAGGCAATTTGTAGCCAAGAAGGGAAAGTAATTGATCAACCAGCACTTGTAATCTGCATGCATCTTAAATTTCAGTCTCAAGATCTAATACGTACTTCTGAAAGTGCTTATGTTCAAATGGTCCCCGTGTAGTACCTAAATTGATGTTGTATTGTTTTGACCTTCTGTACAGGTGTTTTACATTGAAAACAACAGACTTCATATTACAGGGATGTCTGTGCAGTATGAAGTTAGTTAAAGGAATTGAGTAAGAAAATCTTACCTGGTAAAGCTACACTTTTTATGTATGGACTCACCAAACGCAAATCATATGTGATATTTGAACAAAGCATAAAACTAAATGTTATATTATAGCAAGGGTTTAAAAACAGAAATAAAACAGGGAAAAAGGATACTTTTCTTACCACTGATGCGTTTTACTGTCAGTTCTACTATAAAGAGAATACATCAGTTCCTGGTACCTGGTGGGGGGGGGGAGGGGGGAAGAGAAACAAAACAAAAAACAAACAAACAAAAACAAAACAAGAAAAACCAAAAACCAACCCTGACTGAATTAAGCTTGTTTCAGTAAATTAAAAATCCTCTACAAGTCAGAGGTTTGAAGAGCTGGTAGGAGTCACCACTTGACTTCCAAAGAAAGTGCAGCATCTGTGGCGGTGAAAAGTCAGTCCCTCTGGGCTCTGACTCTCTGAGAGAAAGGTTGTTCCAAAACAGCCTGTCAACCTTCAGCCCAGCCACCACTGGCACTTCTCCCTCCTTGTCTCCTTCAGAAGATTCCTTTTTCTAGGACTTGGAGACGATTTCTAAGATGTTGCACAGGACCTGCCCTGAGCCATGATTATCCCACATCCCACTAGCTCTCTGTTAGTAAGGGACTCTCACTTCTCATAGTTTGGGTACAGATGAATGACGGAAGAATTTTGTAAAATCATTGGAAAGCCCCAGCAGAATCCCAATCCCTGTTTCTGGAACATGCACAAAAAGATTTCTTGGGATTAATCGTTACCTAAAAACCAAGGTATCTGGAAGATGTCTCTAAACTATACTTCAGAGTGCACCTTCAAAATTGTCCTACTCTCATAATTTCTCTATTGTTGCATTAAAGTGATAAATTAATCACTTTTGAAAAGAAAATCGATTTTTTTTTCTTATGTTTAAGGCAATTTTTGATTGAAGGCTTTTTTTTTTTACAATCCAAAACAATTAATTTGATTAATGGTCATATTTTATCTTGAAAATAATCCCAGCAATTTTGTTTTTCTTAGGCTTAATTTTGGGAACTTGCTGGCTAAATATCCGTCAAGGTTTTACTATGTCTGGCTGTGAAGTGCAGTTCAAATACTTCACACGCTGCTGTTTTCCTGACAGTGGAAGGGAAGAGCTGTTTTCTAACATGAGAAATGGATTTGCAATCTATTCATTTGGGCTGAGGTGTTTAATTTTAGGCAGCCAAGCTTCTTGTCTCAAGTCCTTTGTGCCTCAGATTATCTACTTCTAAAAGGGATATAATGTTCTGTGTTTATCTCCAAGCACTGACAGGAGGTTTACTTAATTTACATCAGCAAAGTACTTTGCAATCCAAGTAAAACGTGCCCATTTAAATGCAATGTTTTATTACAAGACAGGAGTAAATGCTACTGTCATTTATCCCGGTGTCAAAATGGGACTAATCCCACAGAAAACCAAGGAATTGCACTTGGGAAAAGGCAGTGGAGAGTCAAACACGTGGTCCTCTTGGGTACCAAGATGAAGCTCAAAAAAAAAAAAAAAACCAAAGCAAAAAGAACCATAGGTTGGAAAGGATCTTTAAGATCCTTGAGTGTAAATGTCAATGCAGCACTGCCAAGCCCACCACTAAACCATGTCCCTGAGAGACTCCTCCACAGGTCTTTTAAATACCTCCAGGCATGGTGAATCCACCACATCCCTGGGCAGCATGTCCCAGTGCTCCACAATTCTCTTGGGGAAGAAATTTTTCCTCACTGCCAATCTAAACCTCCCCAGGTGCAACTTGAGGCCATTTCCCCTTATTCTGTCAGCTGCCCGTGAGAAGAGCCCAATCCCCACCTGTCTATGACCTTTTTTCAGGTGGTGATAGAGAGCAATTAAGTCTCCCTCGAGCTTCCCGAGCCGCCCAGCTCCTCATAAGAGGGTGGCGTGCCTCTTGCCCAGCTTCGCTGCCCTTCTCTGGGCACACCTCGGTGGAATCACAGAATTATTTTGCTCTCCCCGGCCTGTGGCTAGGCCCCTGAGGGAGGCGGGCGCCCGGCGGGCCGGGGCTCGGCCCGTGAGGGAGGCGGGTGCCCGTGAGGGAAGCGGGTGCCTGGCGGGCCGCGGCTCGGCCCGTGAGGGAGGCGGGTGCCCGGCGGGCCCTGCCGGCCGTGGAGCGCCCGCCCGGCGCCGGCACTGCCAACAGCTGAGGCCGGGCAGCCCCGGCAGCAGCAGAAACCCCCGGCCTCAAGCTCAAGCAAGCCCCGTGACTCGCTATCGTTTCACCGCATTAGCTCAAATGACGGGGATAGAATTGGCCGAGCTGTGACTCAGCCGGGCCCAGCGGCTCCGCAGGGAAAGCTGGTGGCTGTGCCGGGGGGGATGCTCCGCACACGGGCAAAGCATTTATGAAACTGATTTCCAAACCAAAAGTGAGCGACGGTCAGAAAAGGGAGGCTAAAGTGAAGAAATATGGTAGGTCAACAGAAAGAACAGGGTCAGAAGTTATTTCTGGCACGGTATCTGGCGGCTGTGTTTGAGCATTGGTGATTAACGTATCAGTTATGCCTGAGTGTGATGCAAGAGGCTCGGTGAGTGGTTTGCCTGTGTGTTCAGCTCTCCAGCCTGTCCACTTTGTCCAGACAAAATCCCAACATAAAAGGCTTATCTTGCAAATTAGCCAGCACAGTTATCCCAGGGGTTTATTTATTTTAAGCTGTGGGCACCAGGGACTGACACACCCATTAAAAAAAACCAAAAAACAAAACACAAAAAAACCTACTGCCCTCTGCAATGGGAGTTTCTAACTTTTTTCCCCAAAAGTGGCCAAAAAAATTGCAGTACATGATATACTGGCAAGACCAACAATGAACAAAACCCAAATCTCTCTCTGTTACATGTTTGTTTAATGGCATAGTAGGATTCGGGTCTGTTATCTCTGTGCCCAGTGGTTGTGGTGAATGGGGAAGTGTGAAATGAAGAGAGTTGGTGAGAAGTTCAGGAGGAAAGAGAGTTAGCAACACTGAAACACTGTCAGGGAAGTGAAAGCACAAATGGGTAAATAGCAGTAAAAAATCAGATTATGAAGTGGAAAAATAGAAAATAAAAAGAATTAGGAATTAGAGCATTTTGAAAGAATGAATGGGTCAGAAGAGATTGTTGCAGAATATAACTCTGGACCTAACAAATGTATGTCTGTATTCATAGTGGGGTTGGTGGCAGGGATGAGATACCTGACATGTTTGCAGAACAGTTGGGGCCTTGCAGGATGTGCTGATTTCTTTGGGAGCTTTGCCTCCTCAGAGCTGCTTAATAACTATAATTTGAAATAGTCAAGAACACATGATAGTGTGAATCATGGCTCCTGTGGCAAACCTGTGGTGAGCAGTTGTGCCAGCAGTAGTGCAGCAGTTTAATAGAAGGTGAACATATACTTTTCATCCAAAAAGGGACATAGGAAAGGCATTTGGAAGACTGAGAGTCCATTAATCAAAAGAATATGTTTCTATTTGAAAAATAAAAATTCCTTCATGTACCCAAACACAAAATTATCCACCTACTGCTTTGGGTCATTTCCACTAAACAAAGCTTTTTCTTCTTTGGAGAGACAGAATTCTCAACTGTACACCACACAAAAAATATGTTATATCTTTAATTGCACAAATATTCCACTAATTTAAAGAAAGTGTCCTAAAGCACTGAAATTTGCTGTTCAACAGCTTGTCAAGGGCTTTGAAACACTTTATGAAGAAGAATAATTTCTGACTGAAGATTTCTGCAGATAGATGTAGAGGTCACACTCTTAGCTGGTATAAAAATGAGGTAAATCCAATTAGATTATTCTAATTTATTATCTTGAGACATTTTTGAGACAGTATCCTAATTGAAACTTGAGATTTTTTTTCCATTAAAGGCTTTCTTCCCATGAGACTTACAAAGCAATACATTTTTACTTTTTTTTACTTTTTCTTTTATACTTTAAAATCTATTATTTTACTGCTTTTAATTTTCGATCTTAAAGAAGTAAAAGCAAGAGATTCTTAATAGGTGAATCAAAGGTGGCATTTCTCACTCAAGGCCTGGGTAAAAAAACCAAGTACCAGGTCTTCAAGATAGTTGAAACTTGAGATGATTTCCCTTAAAAGCTTCTAAGATTTTTTAAGAAACAGTACTAAGAATGTTGACACTTACTTTTCCTATTTGAAACCATCCCTGTCAGAATGTTTTTTGTAACAATTCCTGGATTGAATTTCCTGATGGCATAGGAAAAAAATTGCAACTTTATGTTTTGAGTTGCAACTTTTCTCATGCCTTAATGAGTTGAAAATGTATTCTCTACCATATATAGGTACACAAAAGAGTTTAAATGTGAACCACAGCCAAGTTTTCAACCATATGAGCTAAGGCATAGGCAAGGATTTGAATCTGACTTCTGCATGAGGATTCCATCATTTGATGAACAGCAACAGGCAAACTGCTGGACTAAATCAAGTTTGATTTATGATTTATGAATTTTCAATCTCTGCTCTGAGACATCAGGTTTTGGACCAGATTGTATCAAAGGGTTTGAAAATGAAGTTGTTGCATTGCTGCTTAGTGAACTGCAGGACATTTACCTGTCCACCAACATTTAAACACAGAATGTAATAGCTATTCAAACAGAAGTCCAGAGGGTTGGATTCCCCAGAGCCTTAATCAGCCCACATGCATCAATTTTACACCAGTGCATTGTTTTATTGACAGATACAGGTCAAATCACAGTGATGTCTAAAATCTCCAGTTTCTGATCATAGTTTAAAAAAAGCAGAATACAAACCATCTTTTCCAGTAAAGAATTATTGCTTAAAATGGTTCAATTTCAGTCACAACTGGAGCATTTGGGAAGAAGGAATAGCCTTGCTGCTGAGATGCTATGAGGAGTGGGTTTGCTGTTACTCCTGTTTAACAGAGCTCTCATGCAATGCTTTCTGTCCCAGAGGATTTTCTTACTGTGTTTTCTGCCTGCCAGAGTAGTGGGTACCAAATCACAGTCCATACAGTCTATCCAGAGAAACAGAAGCAGAGCCTACACAGGTCAAAATATGTAAGGCTCTACCAAAATCACACAATACATATTGAATGGAGGCCTGAGCTGCCATCAACAGCGCAACACAGCTTGCACCACTTTGGGTGCAAGGGAAGGAAAACAGCCACAACAGTTTAAAAATCCTGGTTCCTCTGTGGTCAGAAATGGTATGCTGGAACTTGAACTAGTATGCAACCACATTTAAACATAACTGTGGCTGGAATGGTTTGAATTCTAATGTGGACAGTACCTAAATTAGAAAATGCTTGGGTGAAGCTGCATGTAAATGTGCATAAGGGAGTAGAAATGGTGTCACTTTCACTTTGTTAATTAAAGCAGCTTCAATAGTTTGAAAGCATACAGGATTCAGAGAAGTGGAACTGGCTGCTGCTTTTAGCACAAGGATTCAGAGGCCCTCTAATTTTAACTCTTCATGAATGTAGCATTTGAGCAATTTATTCTTATGAAGCAGGGAAGAATATTCCCATTCTCTCAATATAGGTAGCTCCAGCTAAGGTGGTGTCATGTTCTGGCTTGGAAGCAGTCACGTTTCTCCACACCCATTCCTAGACAACAATTTTTTCCTTATGAGATTTTTTTTCCCACTGGAAGCAAAGCTCTTCAGTATTTGCAGAATACAGTGTAGGTGAGGGTCACTTCTCAGCTGTAAGTTAAAGGTCATTGTCATCTACTAGAGGGCAGTGAACCAGCAACTATGTGCTTTTAACATCGTGGTGTATCCTGCTGGAATGTTTTGTCTCCCATGGCAAGTGGCCTGAACCATTTGGGGAGCTGCAGCCTCCTTAACACACTGCCCAGAGCCCTCTCCCAAGGCAGGATAACACATCCCAGGACCATCACCTTCCAGAGAGGCTGATCCTGCTGGGCCTGACCAAGCTTAGGTGATTACAAAAGCAGGGATTGGATCACTGCAACACCTTCACTTGCTGCAGTTGTTTTCCAGTGTTGATAAACATGCTATAATGTCCATTTTTACACAAAATAATACCACTTGCTTTTCACAATGGGACTACCTACCTCTCAGTAAAATGTGTTGCTATATGCTTATGACATTTTTAGCAGCGTGTTAATAAGCATGCAGGTTGGCCTTGTCACTGCTTCTGAAATAAATTAAGGTTCCTTTTGTCAAAGCTTTTAATAGACTTTTGGATTGGAAAAGTGCCGAGATGGTCACAGGATCTCATGACTCAGAGGGCTACTTATATTTAAAAGTGTTTTAAAAGCTTAAAACAATAAAAATAGCTCTACTGTGTCATTTTTAATAGATATAAATGTGTGTTACACAATTCAGACCCAGAAACTCCTTTCAGTAATGAACAAAGATCATCATCATAGCTGACATTTCTGAAATGTTTGAAAAGTAAGTTCAAGGTCATGTTTGAATGCAAACATGTTACACACAGTAATTATCATGTGTTTGTTATATTTACTGGTACAAAGTATTCAGAGAGTCATGTATCATGTAAACTAATGGTCTATTATTGAGCAAAGTTTAACATCAAGCAATTTGCTATGAATTTTAAAGCATTTTTTAATGTCAGACAGAAACTGTAATGAGAAAAGTATTTTGATTACAGATTTACAAAATAAGAGAGAGGGAAGGGGGGAAGGAGAGTAGAGGGAAAATTTCTTTAAAAAACAAAACACAACAAGACAAAATTTTCTAAATGGATAGCATTTAGACCCTGCTGTGAGCTAACAGGATGGGATCTATGGAAGTGAATTGTGTTATGCATATTAATATCTTGAATTTCCCAAGGCAGGTGAAACTCTTTCCTGTTCATTTCCAAGCTTGTACATTCTGACCCAGTGTCAGACTGAAACTGGAAGGCTGAAAGTGCTCTCAAGCTCTCCAGGAGACCTCTGTGAGTAATGCACAGGTCTCATCTCCTGACACGAGATCCCTTTGCTGGAGGCGATTTCAGTATTAATCAGTCTGTCGGTCGCTAGGGGCTACAACCTGCTAACAAAACCCTCAGACTTCTCCCTGATTCATTGCACTCCATGCTCTAATTTTACAGGGGTTTCATTTAAGTAATGTAGTTGCCCCCTCGACTTTTTTTAAGAAATATTTTTTTGCCAAAAATATTTATTGATGCCATGATCTTCTCCTACTATTTGTTTCATATTTGTACTGTGCTAAAATCTTGGCTTGCCTGTTTTTTAAAATTCCTGACAAAACACTTCTGATGTCACAGTGGGGACAAATCCTGGACAATTGTCCAGGGAGACACATTAATATCTGGGCTGGTGCACAGCAATACCTGCCAATAAATTGAGTGGGAATTGGGTTCAGAGCCATATTTGTTCAAGGCATCTCTGGAGGCAGAGCAACCACGTGGATTTCATCACTTCATACTGGTGTGGCCCCAACACACGAAGTTCCCAGAGGTGAAATTCACTTAAAAAAAAAAAAAAATCAAATTAAGTGTTTAACCAAAATGGCATTACTGTGGCTATTAGAGATAAGGGAAAGGGGGTAAGATTCAGACTTGAAGGGCTAGCCCACCTGAGAAAAATAAGGGATGTGATTTAGATGGCTCCATAAGTTGAGCTCTGAGTTGAGCTCAGCAGGGAAGAGAAAATGTAGAGGTGGGATCCAGTAGCTCCATGAAGGAATTAGACAAAATGCTAAGATCCAGCAAATAATCTTGAAAGGTGTGATTCAGCAAAGCATATCACCATTGTTCAGATATTTTCCTTGGCCAAGCACAGGCTGTCAAGTGGGAACCTATGGAAATCATAGAGAAAGATGTTAACCTCCAAAAAGAGAGAGAAATATATTTGCTGCCTAAAAGATGTAATTGGCATTTGATGCAATCAATATTTTTTTACCTACTGAGTGCCTATCTAGTGAAAGAATCTATTGTTGTTACTATCTTCATTATTTCAAAAGCCCTGGGAATGACCACTGCAATCACTGTAACAGTCCTCAGCCTTCTTCCTGTGACAGTTTTCATTGGCAGGTCTCAACATTCTCTACAAGAGAAGTCAAAATCATTACTCTCATCTTATAAACAGGATAAGTAAGGCACAAGAGGGACAGAGGGGGCAAGATCCCTCCTGAGGTCAGACGAGGACTCAGACACAAGCCTGCAGAGTCCCAGGCCAGTATCAGCTGTGGGGGTTCCTAATCCATTCCCTCTGCTCATCTGTGTTTGGTCTCTGATGTTTTTTTAAGGTCTGTACACATAAATGTAGCACTGATACAGGATTGATGGACTTCAGGATAGACCATTGACAATTTTTCACTCCTGTTATGTTCAAATACTTTTTGTTCCCCACCCAAACAAGTGTGGAGACACTTTAGAGATGAACAAGTTTGAATAACTCTAGGAGCACCTGTGTCTACTTAAAACCATTTCCTTATGCAAAGCCACTCCCAAGCATAGTGGCATATATAACATTTTTTAAGCATTGAAGTCAGTGGTTGTGGCTGGAATTTATCTTCAAAGACATTGCAATACTTGGAGGTGTTGGGAAAGCCTTTTTAAAATTCCACTTACTGAAACTATGGGAAAAGAATTTATATGCAATTTTTAAAAAATATCATTCTAGCCCTAGTTTAGGAAATGAAACCAGGAGAATGTGAACTTAGGAACTCTGAAAATAGGGATTAATTAAAAGATTCCAGCATATTTTCACTTTTGCTTATTTGTATACTTTTTATAAGACTTCTTCTTTTAGGAATCTTGCTTTTCATTTTTGATGACTTAGCAGTAGTAACTGTTTAGATCCAGAGAGGAGTTTTTTGCTCTGGTTTTCATATTTCTTATGGCAGACTAATAGAGAATTATGGATCTGGTAGATAAAAGCATGCTGGGAACAGATTTCCTGGGCACAAGATATTTGTGGTGACTGAAAGGGTTGACTGAAAGTTGCAGGGCTTTCATTAGCCTGTGTCCAGTTTTCTGTGCCTAACTCTGGTAACAAACCCACCACGCAGCTCTGAGAGACAAAGCAAGGGGGCAGGGAGGAGGCTGAGGCCCAAGGCAAAGCACTAATGGAGGCATTTTTGAATGTCTGTTTTGAACAGTTACTGGAAGATTTCCCAGAGACAGAAGGATAAACTCTAAGCCAGGATACAACTCTTTTGAAAACCTGTGGCCTAACTTGTAATTCGTGAATATTATCCCCAGTTCTGTGCCTCTAAAAAGCTGTTTTTCTTCAACCTCACACATAGAGAGGAGCATATCAATACACTCTTCAGAGGAGATGGATGGAGGGCTTAATTCACTTTGCAAATCTATGGAAGCAACACTTTAGCACTTAGGCACAAACCGCCTCTGACACTGAAAATTAGTAAAAGAAAAGAAGTGGTGAAAATGTCAGGAGCGGGAGGACTTCATTTTTCTCTTGTTTAAAATGTCATCTGTTATCTGCAATCAATGCACAGAGACAACTTCCCATACCATAATGATTTACAGTATGTTTATAGGCACAGATAGAAGTAATCACAGGGTTAGGCGAGTGTCTCTTGGTGAATTCTTCAAGCCTCAGAAGTGCTTAGTTCTGCAGTTCCCTCTTCCCAGGAATGCAGAGGAGATCAGCACGGAGAGCTGTGCAATTTCTGCCTCTCCATACCCAGACCATAAAATCTGCAGCCTATCTAGCTTCAGCTGTGTATAAACATACCCCATGATCACATGCCTGTGACTTTAAAAAAGAATATTGTCTTTGCCTCTGAAGAAAAGGCAATAAATATTTTTCACTCTTTTCATATCTAAACAAATATGTACGAAAGGAAGTACATTCATAGTCTTGGTGCTAGATTTAATGTTTTAAGCTTTCCATTGTTTGGAATTTCCTGTTTAATGCCTTGGAAAAAAAAATTCCATTACTGATTTTTGTCCTTTCTCAGTGAGAACTCATTGTCCAAATCTTTTAAATGGTGCTGAGATGAATGAGTCCAAGTTTATTCATTTCCTTTGTGTCCACCAGAATTTGGGATACTGCTGGATACAATATCTCCTTTGCCTACAGAATTCCTGTTTAATATTCCTTAGCAACAGAACCTTGGATGTCTTGTTGGCTTTTGTAGCCATAGAGCTCCACAGACATCACGTGCTCCTTTCCACCCAGTACTCCATGTGAAGCAGGGAAGTGTTAAACTCCCGGTCTATGGATGGCAAAGTAAAATAAAAACATCTCAGCACTTAATATTTCTGAGAGGTTTGAATCTGAAGTTCAGTGCACAGAGGAAGAGTAAGGAATAAGTGTCAGGGTTTCACATCTTGGGCCAGAGCCACAGGAACTTATTTATTCTTCTTGTCAGTGTGTGACTGATGGCTTTTAATAAATAAAATGATTCCTGCATCTCAAGGCCACTCCCCTTCACATTAACACGGTGGTTTTCCAGAGGAGTTACTCATACTGTCCCTACAGCAGCTACTACCAAACTCCACCTCATACAACAGAGAAAGGAGTGGTGTTTGTCTTATGTTCAAAATTAGAGCTGGTCAAAACTTTTCCGTTGATTTTTTTTTTTTAATAAAGATGCTCTGTATTCTTACAAGTCCTATTTCTTACAAAAATTCAATTTCAGTTCTTTTCATGAAAAAGTTGAAGAACCAAATCTTTTCATCTTTTACCCTCTGAAAGCATTGAAAACTTTCCAAACCCAAATCAGCTAAAGCCTTTAAGTCCAAGTCTTACACACTCACAGGTATTCTAACCATCCTTTTTCTATCAAGCTCCTGCTCAGAGGCTGTCATCTCTTCCATAACACCCCCAAAGCCAGGTATATTGTGAATATTATAGGGCATACAGTAGGTTAGATCATGGGTTAATTTATTCAAGTAGCTCCATTTTACACACTCAGTAGTTCCCTTAAAAATGAAACATATGCTATGGCCCTTGGCATTTTCACAGTGCTCACTTGCCAGTTCAGTATTTATTTATTCCCAGGTTTGCTACTTTCTTGGAGGGTGACCTTGAACAAACACTTTCATTTGTCCATATTTTACCACAATTTCCTTTTTTTCTGTTTTCAGGAGCTTCACAGCAAGCATTATCCAATAAAGAGGCAATCTGATTTTTGAATTTAAAAAAACTACCACAGTGAAGCAAAAAAGTTTTTTCATGCCATTAAGGCAGAATAATATGAGTAATAAATAGTAAATAAGTGGCATGACCTTAGTTATAAATTTCAAGGTCCTGCCCTCTGCTTATTTTACTACTCTGTGCTGCTTTTGAACAAATTCTCAAATATCCTCCCAATATAGAACATATAAACACAACTCACAAAAGTCAGAAAGAGAAAAAGAATATCAGCTCAGCAATATAAAAATAAAGGTTAATTCACAACTCCAGATAGCATTTCAACTCTCTTTGTACAGTACTCAGCATATACTCACTAATAAAATCTAACTTGATGCTTTATGGCAGCAGTGATGTTCCTAGAAATCCTTAGTATAGTAACATTTTGGAAAACAGCCCTCTACGTGAGAGGATCAGTCATTTTCCTTCTGTAACAGTAAAAGCTTCAGGATTTCAAACGGATAAACACTCTGCAATTTGAGCTTTGTGAGTCATACTTAACAAGGCAGATGTGTGCCGAGAATTAGCAGTCCAAATGCATGGGTGTTCCTTGGCTCTGACTAAATTACCTAAGACAGATCAGGCAGAAAACGCAGACTTGCACAGCAATGCATTTCTCTTTGTTCCAGGGCACAGAGGTCGCTCCGCTGATGGCTGCATGGGGAAGGCTGCAGTGGAAGACAGGAGCCACTTGCACATGACTGTGCAAAGAGGGATACCAAGCCTCCCTGACACTGGGACAAGGATGAGCCCTGGGGCAGCTTAGAAATTGACTGTTAGGTCAGATTGAACTCTGAGCCTGCAAATCACTGCTTCTGTGAACCCTATTCAGATACACAGTTTCTTTGAAGTCAACAGCTGGTATGAAAAAAATTCAAAGTAATGGCGTTACTTACCTGCGTAAAAGCCATATTCATCTGAAGGAGAGAAATAAAGCTCTGCACACAGCAGAGGAACATCCTTTTGCTCCATACAATCATTCCTGACTCTTTCAAAACCAGGCTTCACATTTTGCTTTACCTCTTTGTCAGCTTCATTTCATCCTTGATCCTGAACTTTTCTCAGCTCCTATTTTTCCTGCATCTATTAATCTGCTTCAGACACCCCCTGTGACTGTCACCTTTGTTTAAATTCTCAAGTATATCACTCTTCCCTCACCTTGACTGCTGCTCTTTCTTTTTCTACAGCATCCCCAAGCTCCAGCACACAGTATTTGTAAAATATGCTGTCTGATTTCTAGGATATTCAGAAAGCTCTGCTCATCCTACTCTCAAATAATTCCACATACCTCTGTATCAATTTCAAATTGCCTGTCCCACTGCATACCTACTGCCCAATTTAGAATTTTGATTCCCATATTGCAACCCATTTCCTTCCTCAATACATTTTTTTTTAAAAGGAAAGTCACTATTGTTTAGAAAATCCAGTTCCACCCAGAATAGCTTTTCTGTTTATTGCTCCCTCATTGAATTTCGGAGCCAAATTAATATCTTCTGTAGTATTTCTTTTGAAGGCAATGAAACTGTGTCCATTTGCTACTATTTTGTACCATGGAGTTAAATCTGGCATTCTTAAATGACAGAAAAATGAAACAACATATTTTATAACCTTTGATTTCTCTTTCTGAAATTCTGTATTTATTTTGTAAAAATCTATTGCATATAATGACTTACTCTATCAAGTGCTTTATAAAAGACATATAAAGATATAGATATATAAAATAGTTGAAATCAAATTGCCCTGTATCTCTGCTCCTGTAAATCCCTGTGCTATCTTTGAATATATGGTACATCTTAATCATGGAATCACAGCTGAATACTAAATATTTGTACATGTAAGCCCCAAGGAATGCTAAAATTCTTTTTTTCCTTTTCAACTAGGCATGCTATTAATTAATGCATAGCAAAATGATTAAAAGCATTTTTCAAATAATGAACAATACAGAGACAGACAAGTTAATTGATTGATTGGTGTATGAGCAGGGTCCTAATGGATTAGCATTTGCATATTAACACAGATGCAATCTCTCTCTCTCTTAATGAGCTGCTTGCCACATTTTGTCTTCTTTTAAGCAGCAGTGAGCATGATAAAACAAACCCACTGGATTGCTCTCTCTCAAGAGACCAACAGACAAACTTTAAAAGAGGCCTTTCTCCAGCACTGATTTACAGAAATCCTCTGCACATCTATTTCGTAGGTATGTGGGGACAATCACTCCTTATCTCAAGTTACTTGTGAAAGGACATATTCTGAAAATCATGGAAATTTAAAGCTTCTGCTTGTAAGATACTCATAACATAATTTTTCCCACAATGATCTGGCATTTGCCACAGCTGTAAGGTTTTGCTGTATGACAAGATGGAGTGGGATGCCACTGGCCAGCTCATTCCATCTGTGGTCTTTCCATTGCCATTGGCAGCTGGACAGTGCACATCCATCTGATTCAGCAGTTCACAGGGAAAGGATCGGAATAATTTCAGGTAGGTAGATGGCAATTTTTACTCACTGGACTCATTGAGAAGGACCCATACTCAAGGTCTACATGTAGGCAGTGTAATGAAGATAAAAGCTGTGAATACATCTTCCACCAGGAGCACTACCACAATAACATGGCAAAACTGTTGTCTTGTTTATTCAAGCATATATCAAAAGAAAGAAAAGAAAAAAACCACAGGTGATTTGGTTGTATACAAATTCTAAGTACTGGTGTCACCAGGTAAATCTGTGTGACTTCAGGTGCTCTGTTGTGGATGGCAGGACACAGAGATCTCCTTGATGCCATCCATATCTTGATGCCATGCCATCCAGTGTGTATATACCTGTGACCACGGGTTGTAGCCGAGTTACCTGGCAATCTGAGTGACTTCTGGGGCCCACATGCACATCACAATAAGGAACTGCACTATGCCATCTAAGAAAATATTTGAAGCCAGCTCAGAGATCTTTAATACACCCCTGGTTTGAACCCTGTAGACATGCCCTTTGAGTTCTTGGCCCACAGCCTTGATTAGAGTCAATTGGCATAGCTGTGCTGCAGTCATTTCCCTGTTTACATAGGATGAGGATCTGGTGCATTATGTATTTTGGCCATGGAGTGCAGCTCTGCCTTCTGCTCAGCTGGCTGGCTGTGAAGCCTGCAGTTGCTGGGTTTTGAACTCGGCATTCAGGCTCAGGCTGGGCGACACTGCAAAGCCTCTGCACTCAGGCAAGTTTCCAAAGCTTCCAGGAAACCCCTGTGACCTCCTGCTACCTGATTTTCTCTGCTTGTTTCACTTAACTCTGATGGCTGCTGGGACCAACATTTACTGTGGGTGCTCAGAAAGACTCATCCAGGTCCTAGAGGAGCTGTTGCACCAGCAGTGAAGGGGACACCAGCACACAGGCACTGAGGCGATGTGCTGCCTTCAGGGAGATTGCCACACCATGAACCGCAGGCAGATTTGGGTATTTCCGTACTCAACCATGAAGAGACTTTGCTGCTGTCTTGATTGACATGATTCATAAGATGTGAAGGGTATTTCCATCAGGGAAGTACAGATACAGTTTAAAGCAAACTTTAAAAAATAGACTCATTTATGGATCCCACACCAAATGGTTTTAAGTCCCTGTTTGAGTAAGATAGATAATTAGTCCATTTATGGAGGGTTCTTTACTGTTTGTCTCAAGTGGGTAGTCTTAAATAACTTTTAATCTTATTTATGTTACTTTTACACAGAATGTGGGACTGATCTTTTTTCATTGTATGAATGCTTTTTCAGATTACACCAACCTGCTCTAGTAATTTCAATTCTGAAAGAAATTTTTAAAAACTCTAATTATTATTCTAATTATGTTTATACTATAGATTATTATTACAGGTTGCATGTTCATGATTAATGAAGCCCATCATGGAATTCTAGAAATCACTGTTGAAGCATAATGTTACTATAGTAGTGTCTGGTGGTATCTGTCACGTTTTTCATGGAAAAAATATTCCAGGCATGTGTAGCACTCTATCACCTGTCTATCTGGGCATGATAAATGCAGCAAAAAACCCCAAAGCATTGACATTGATATGAGTTTTCCATTGACTTCTATCAAACAAGAAATAGCCCCAGTTCAGGGGCCCGGCCATGGTTTCTGCTTGTAATAACTATTTTAAGCCTTTTTTTCTTTTTCCACTCAAAGTTATTATTTTATGGAAAGAAATATAAACAGAAATAAAATGCCACATATATCCAATAAAAAAAATTAAAAACAAAAGCAGGAAAACTATAATCTACAACCTTCTTTGCTTTAATTTTCTAATCTGCCTAAGGAGTTACTGAAATAATTGGGGCCTTTAAGATTTTGATAAAATCTTTTTTTTTTTTTCCAAAATTCTGCAAAGCTGAAAAAGGCATAACAACTGTGGCCAATATTTGTATACTTGTCTATTTCACCCTCTTGGTGTTTGACCCGCTTTAATATAAAATATTTCTGACTGTGCAGTTAGCCAGAAAACCAAAAATAGGAAATACTACTCCAGCTCGGTTTGCTAAGGTGTTAAAAAGGCTTGTGGATAAATTCACAGAGTGTGTAATGCATCTGTGATTCTGCCACTTCACAGCCCCTTCCCTCTCCCCAGCCTCCCCCATGCCTCTACTGCATCTGTGCATAATCAGGGAGAACAGAAACCTTTCTTTTACACTGTCTTATCTCAATATCCTTTGTTCATACCAAGCAGCAGTTCATGAATGCCACTTGCTTTGCTCTACCTCTGTCTCACAAAGGTTGTGGTTTTTCAGTTCCAAGGGGAGAAACCTATAATTCCCAAACAATTGAAAAGATTTGTATCTGAACATAAATAAACAAAAGCTGTCCCTAGGGAACATGGAAAATGTTTTTCTCTAGAGAAGCAGTTCCTTCACCTGCCCCAAGTCCCTGGGGCCATGCTGCAGCTCCTGCAGAGGTTCACCCTGCAGCCAGTGCTAGATGGAAGGAAAGCACATCCCGGGCTGCAGGGAGGGAGTGTGATGTACCAGGGGCTACTGCTCCTTCGGGGACACATGGCAGGAGGTGTCTGGGGCTGAGGCAGAGAATGGGAGGCAGGAAATCCTTCCCCCTGCAACCCCGAGTGTTGGGAACCCCAGGGTGCTGCCCATCCTCCCCAAAGGCTGTCCCAAAGGATCAGGGCATGAGGGGAAGAACAAAGGGCAGCTAGAGGGATAGTCACACTAGGGTGTGGAGCTGGTGGACAGAGTCTCCAAGGACAGAAGAAGAACTGTGCAAACCAATGAAGTTAACTGTTCATCTTCACAAAGGTAAAAGGCAGAGTATTTTTGAAGTCTTGCCTAAGAACTTCACCCTTACACAGATCTCTGATAGTACCCTCTCCCACCCATAAACCTTTCCTCCAGTCAACTTTAACTCTCCCTGTCTTTATCTTCAAGTCACAACCTAATTCTTTACCTTCCTACTTGACAAATCTTGTTTCTCATGGTGTCTTTTCCCTCCTCTGCAGAGGACAACCCACCTGCTATGATCCACTGTTCTCAGAATTCAGAAGTTATATCAAGCTAGAAGAATCATAAGAATCACCAAATTCAACTCCCTGCTAGCCACAGGACAATTGTTTCTACATCTGTTCCCTACAGTGGTTTAAATGATGATATTATTTAACATGATGTAATTTAAACATCATGTTTTCTGATATCTAACCTAAACCTCCCCCAGTACAACTTTGGACCATTTCACTGGGTTCTGTCACTGCTGTCACTGGTCACCACAGAGAAAAGATCAGTGCCTGCCCCTCTGCTTTCTCTTGTGGTGATGTTGAAGACTGCAATGAGGTCTCCCCTCAGTTTCCTCTTCTCCAGGCGGAACAAGCCAAGTGTCCTCAGCTGATCCTCTTTTCAGTTGCATTTTGTAGCCAAAGAAATTCAGAATGAAACACTATGTAGGCATGAATAAGCATAGATTTACTGAATTA